ATGAAAATCAAATTTGGAAGAATGACAGTGACACACATCAGTCAGCGGTTCACTCTGGAAGGGAGATCCCTGTTCGTCAGCATAACTCCGGTTGAAATTATGGACAGCTACTTTAATTTATTCAATAAGCCACTTGCTTTTCCCACACCCTTTTCTTGAATAAGTGGTGTTACACACTTCATACCACATATGAAATGCAAAAGGCAAGAACACGCCGACAAGGACGGCCTTTCTATTGACGAAGGGTCGTCCAAAAGACTACCGGGAACAAGTGACCTTGGTAAAGAAATGTTTACTTAGTGCGATTAATATTCGCTAAGCAATAGCCACGCTTTCAAAAGTAGTTCCTCATCGCGTGGCCCACAATGAGAATGGATTGAACCTACTGCAAAAATAGCCCAGACTTATTTCACTGACTTGTTTACACAGTATTTAAAACCCTTAAAAGAAGTGTCAGGAAGTAACTGTGGGGACATTTGCTTCCATTTCATATGAATGCTTATATCAACCCCGTTTCACAGGTGATACTCACAAGACCGACCCAAATCGTTCTGTTGTGCGGAAAATTTCCATGATGATTTGGACAGTGTTATATTGGACCTTTGACTATCTAAGGTGGAATGTCGTTCTGGGTACACCCTGTTACCCATAACCCTTGATTCCCGGATTTCCTAGAAGAGGACACAGATTCGAATGAAACTCAACATGAAGATCACAAAGAAATACTTCAGGCACTTCAATACTTCATGGTCGGTGAGACACTTGAGTTAGGGGGGGCAGCCAAACACAAGGAGTCCAGGAGAGTAGTCAAACCCAGGTCGTCCAAAGGAAGATCGGACCTGTCATAAGCCAACCGGTCTAGTTTACTGGCATTGGTTATTATGGAAATTTTGCACTCAGGAATATGCAAGCTGAGAGAACATCCGGTGCGACGTAAACAAAAGCGAACCAAGTTAACTGTTTCAATCCCCTGGGCGAAGTGCCATAGTACCGGTTGATTCTTGTGTCACATCAGCTGTAAATCCTGATCACGTCCAAACTCACACAAACTATCGAACGCAGCTGCGTGCGTGGAGGGATTAGCACCTGGTCATCCACATGCCAATAAGGGCGCACACAGTTCCCCGACTGCTATTGTCTGTCTGTTATTCAGTCAAACAGTATAGAAAACACTCATCCGCAGAAAGATGGAAGAAATGGACCGCCGACTGCTACTGTCCATCGCCTATCTGTTATTCAGTCAAACAGTATAGAAAACACTCATCCGCAGAAAGATGGGAGAAATGGACCGTCCGTCACTAGAATATATGACAAAACTCAAAAGCTGAAAAATTTGCTGAGGTCAATTATCAGTACAATGTAGTTGTGACCGTTCGCTACCCTGTCACGCCAATTTACATGCACCGATAGATAGCAGGCCTTAGATCATACCAAGGCGATTACATTTCTACATGCTATTGAGCATTTGTTCGCTGAGCTTTGCAGTAGAAAAGCAAGGGTTTCGCACCGACAACCACCAAGCAAACCAACAACTGTAGGTGTAACACATTACTCATAAGGTTGCTGAAAACTTTTCGACAGAAGGCTTAATGTAGAACAGCAGAAACGCGAGTCTCAGTTGGGTCTCCCGTGAAAACCAAGCTGGTATGCGAATGAGTGTATTCCGCTGAATCAACTACTTGAATAACCGTTAGATGCATTCTGGCTACCAATATCCGAACACATTAAGCACATATTTTCAGTCAATCGTCATGACTATGACTGTTGCTCGTACTCGTCCGACATTGAAGCACTGGACGGGCGCGTACCGTTGGACAACCACGGACGGTTAATGCGAATTCACCTGTTGCGTTGCTTGCAAGACCTTGTGGTTGATCTGGACGCGAAAGAATCAGACCAATGTGTAAAGGCTTGTTGCAAGTCAGTCAAGGTGACAAAACGAGAACCGGTACCAACTGAGCATCGGCCAAGCTCACTAAGCCCCAGCGTAATATTACAGCTCCCCACTAATGAACGGCGCCACAGTCCCGCGGGAGGAGGTCACTAATAATATGACTGTGGATAACCCTGAAATATGCTAGCAGCCATATGACCGTCTCAATTTTGTAGATGGGCCAATAGAGTACCGTCGTGGTATGTTTCACGGACACGCCTTAAATGTACACACCGTCTAACATGAGTTGATCACAAGCCTCCAGAAAGTCCGCAACTAAAAAACACCCACCTTCACATACGCCACGTTGTTGAAAAAACCACCGGGTTAGCACTTGAGCTGAGAGCTTTTTCTACGATCCGATGGGATGCTCCTTCCAAGCGCCTCGCTTCGGTGCTCGACACAGCACACTACACACAGAATCGAGTGATAAGCCCCTACCCCAACCGTCAACGGCGGAGCTGAATTTCAACAATTTGTCGAGAAGTGTCGGCTAGGCCATCTCTGAACTGATGGAGGGGTTGACCTTCCGCAAAGCCGGACGTTGTGCTGAATTATTCTAAGTTTCACAGTGGACATTGCGTTTTCCTGTGTTAAGGTTTAGAATGACCCGAATCTCAAGTATCTTTGTCGAAGTGGTTGAAAACAACTAAATCATATCAGCGCAACAATTCATGTATTTTCTTCAGGAATGAAGGAAAAATTGCAATCAGAACTTATTTCATACAAAATTAGCGTATTATTTCGAAGGAGCATCACCACCACCAAAGTATGCGCTCCATCCATTTAGTGGCCACTTGATGAAGCGATCAGACTCCATGAACGCCTTGATGTTGGGCAAAGCCTGAGAAAGAACGGCAAATGAAGGAAAGTTTTGTAAAACATGAAAAGATGACAAAAAATGGAGCTTTCAACGCAACATTTCCCCGGAGAAACAATTCCCAATTATAAGAAAAGTAGGCTTTCCACTTTATGCGGCCAAAGGACACCCTGAAGGTTTTTCTGAAGATTTGATCCCCTTACCGAAGGTTCCTCTGCGGTCATCTGAGAATACGATTACACACGTTTTTGATTCAACGCTTACCTTATTTCCAAAACACCTATGGCTTAGCAGTCGCTCGCGAGACTTATTTCTTAGACCAAGCTGAAACCTAGGGGGTGGACAGCATCTAAGCTGAATTGGATGGAGCAAAACGGAGCTTGTAGCAACCGCGGTAACCACAAAGGTACCAGCTTCACTCTAGTGGTGACTAGGACTTCGGAGACACTTGTTCTATCATATTACAACACGAGAATTGGCAGGATTCTGGCCATCAAGTGGTAGAGCGACGGCGAGTCCTCATTTTGGTACTCATTGGATTGAATTGGTTGTTTGCCAGACTGTCATAAGCGTACTTATGCACCGGGAGTTTATAGGTATTGTGGGCTGGAAGCAGGCAACATGAACAAGTGTATGAGGTTACGGCGGCGAATCACTGGTGTTGAACACTGATGTCCTGCTGTCAATGATGATGATGATATTAAGTGTGTGAAGTGTTGTGAGATGTGACATTAGGATACACCAATGGTTAAGGCGCGGAACTACTGACTGGAAGGTGTGGTTTGAACCCAGCCCTAGATTTCCAATCGTTCTTGTCTGGACGTAAGCAACCGGAAAGTAGCTCGACCCTCGGGCTCTTTTTGAGTTGCACGGCAGCTATGCACTGAAGGAGCCGTACTTAACCGAATTATTCAAGATCACGTAGACACTTTTTCTGTTTTCCCTGGACTGAGATTTCCGCAACCGGGAAGGACAAGCTGGGCTTATCTTCGGAAGAGCACGATATAAGTTTCTACAAAGTAAGGCGCACGACAATATCAGCTAACCGGAAAGTCTCCAGACAATTATTTGACACCTCTGAGCAACCGAGATTCCACTGGGGAGTTGGTGACAACGGATGCGGGGATCCCAACCACGGGGTGCCAGTCGATCACACATGGAATACATGCGTCTTCACCGCAACCAAATCCCGCAAGGAAATGGAATATGTCTAAGCTGTTTGGAATTTTCTTCAAACAACCAAGTAGCTCATCAGTCGCCTGTTTCCAGTAACCATGCTGTATTCCATCCACTAGCTGTAGGACGTAAGAATTAGTAATTATGGCGGGTTAATATGGGTCCTTGCACGGGTTGATTAACTCTGAGAAAGTGCCCGTTGTAAACTTCACATTTTCTCACTTAACCTCAACTTATTAGTGGCAAACTCAAGATGAAAGATATCGCGGAAGTAACAGCAAAACTCGAAGGTCAGCAGTTGAGTATGGAGTAGTAGTTCTCTGAGGGTTTAGCGCTTTTGAGTTCACCGTTGCTATTCAGAACTATTCCTAACAAAAAAAAAACAGGAAAACACAGTGGATTAGCGGCTATTGTAAACAAAGAGAGGAACAAGCGGAAAAGGATGTCGGTTAACTGGAGAGGATCTGAATAAGCCATATGGCGATTGGGAGCTCTCATTGGCCAGGCTGTCCAGCGCTTGTTCGGAAAAACTAATTGACAGCACAATAGTAATGTGGTCAAAACAGCCCCGATAAAGATTTCCTTGGTGGATAGTGGTACACCTCCAGGCTGAATGACGCTAACTGATTAACGCTAGAGAAAATAATTTTTGGGCTGCATCCATTGTGTACATAAAGGCTCCATATCGGTGAAGCCTATCACCAACTTGGCGTTCTCACTGTCCACTGCCCCTAATGGATGATTTAGTGGATGCGCTGAAGGTATGAGTTTATCAGGCCTGTATAAGCTCCAACTGGTGCTTCGGAAAGTAAAATTACCGCACATGGAATGCTGACTGTCGATACTCACTAGGTGTATGGTACACATAGATCGCGTCTTAGTGCACGGCACAACTGTAGAGAAGCAATTTCAAAACTTGGGGTGGCGTTAACGAGGATCTACAACGTTGATTTCATCCTGAAAATACTACTTGTTCCAGTTCAATGTTGTCCTTCTTCTCGAACGACAGAATAAAGGTTAGTGAGGGTAGGCAAGCAAGGCAAGTGACTGGTCAAATCGATACAATCCGGTTGCACCATGTTACCTGGACCATGCTTCTCAATACCGTCCGTTTATATAAAAGTTCACGGAAACCAGCATCTCACTAACAACGCAAATGTAGAGAAATGTTAGCTTCAAATGGACTGAATCATTTAGGTGGCTACGTAGCGACTAATGGTCTTCGCTAGTCCTCACCATGCCCGATGCAGTTTTTTCCATTCTGGATCCGCGCTGAAACATTCCGTAAGATCACAAAAGCCAATGGATTGGTTTGCTATCCCATCACTTTGGTTCATGAAGGGAACTGTTACCAAGAGACTATTATATGTATATATTAAAAAAATATAT